CAAGGTCATGATATCTCATGGCCATAAATCGAGCGTCCGAAAGTATGCTTGCCAAGATTGCTTACTGTGAGTGACACTCTTTGGAATAAAGTTTTGGAAGTTGCTGTTCTCTGAACGTGAGTAAGCTTCAGATGTTCCACTTGAGAGATCAGAGCTGGTTACTCCTCAGTGTCATATGAAACGACTTTAACCAAAATGAGACCGTTTTCATATTTAGTGGAGTGTGTTTTATTAATAGCGTGATTTACCCCGTGGCACGGCCATGCTACGAAGTTAACTACAGGCATTCTGACGGGAATTTAGCTTTTTGTCGCCTTCTGAACAGAAACCTAAGGGTAGACCCATGTTTGATAAGTTTGTAAGTCAGGCTTCACCGATTGAGGAACAGTTTACTGCTATATCACAACGATGACCAAGCAGAGCCTTATTATGCTGCACTCATATTCAACGAACATTCAGAATAATTACAATATGGGATTGTTCCTCATGATTTGAAAGGCATAGCTTTACGGCTCCCTTTCTTCAAGCCACCTAGTGAATGTCTAAGCAGATCAAGACTCCATGGCATTGCAGCATCTGCTATGCATGGTTGCAAAACCTTATTACTGTATTTAATTAAGAAAATTTATCTTAGACACCACCTGGAAATGCCATTGTCAATGGGCAGATACCACGGTAACTTTCCCCGAGTTTCCTAGCAAACTTCTAGAAAATATTCTTGTGTTATTTTTTCTGATGTACATGACGATTCACATAACAGGTTCATTATTTTCATTTATACTGCACTCTTGTGCGATCGACTGCGGTTAATTAACAACGGAATTAATTTCTGTGATACATGGTAATACACACTTTGATGTCAATATCTCTGCCACAGAGATATAGTCCCCTTTGTAATGTTCAACAGCCAATGAGTCTCCAGGATTGGATGGTTCCTTCCTGGTCGTGCACCAATTGACGAATCACATTTGAGGTGCAGGTGGTTCTTTACTTTTCACCAGCATATTGGCGAATCAGCTTCGACGGCTAAAGGCATTTCTTCCACATCAAGGGGTTATTTTTAGGCGGCGCTGGAATGCTGTTGGGCGTCAGGTTCTTATCATTCTGACGTTTTTGCAAGTCAAAGGGTCGCCGCGCTCAGTAATTAAAGCGGCAGCCACATATGTTTATAAAGGGATAATGTCGCTGAAAAGCAGTTGCTTTACGCAACCTCTGAGCTCAGCAAACCTTGGACGCAGACAGTACAAATTTGGACCCCTCAGTTTTTTTACATTTTTAACTTTAAATGACGATGATAGGGCAGCGTTCGAAGTCTATCGTATGACCACATCAGAGCAGTGTATTGTTCTCTGTTGCTCTTGCCCATAGCTTTGCTGGCCTGAGGGAATAAATGTGCCATTGGCTTTCCTGTCTCATTTGGACAGTTTGTCTTTCGTTTATGGTCAGATGAAAATCACCTGCGTCGTCGTACTGACAGTCTGGCACTTGCATCGCCACGCCATTCGTTACCTCAACGTGGACAACACCTTATATAATCTCCTTCTGGCTTCTGATTTGCTGCATGAAATCTTTGAAGTCACAAATAATCATTATAAAACTTTTTAGCTTTCGTGTACTTGGGACGACGTTCCGTCGGTGACTGCCGAAAAGGACAGGCTGTCAAACTTTTCCAGTCTTTCGCTGAGGATCAAATTGATGGAAGCAGCGGTCACGATGAAAATGGCCCTCGGAGTCGAGCAGCTAGGCAGCGTTCATTATCTGCCTCTTCGGTTCACTTCTGGAGTGACCATCATAGTAACGGTTCAGCACGTGGACGACGTCAAATCTGTTCAGGCAATTACAAGTTTCACTTGAACTTCAGTTGTTACCGTCCGATTGT